GCAGAATGGCGTAGCAGAACGGATGAACAGAACTTTGACTGAGAGAGCTAGAAGTATGCGGTTACAAGCAGGTTTTCGCAGCCTACTTGATCAACCGGGGGCCATCAGTGCCTTTGGAGCACAAAAATACCTGAAGAAGTATGGAGTGGAAAGCAGGTAAACCTTTCTCACCTGAGAGTATTTGGTTGTGTTTCTTATGTTCATCTGAGTGATCATGCAAGAAACAAACTTGATCCTAAGTCTCTGAAATGTTTCTTTGTTGGCTATGGCGGTGATGAGTTTGGCTACAAGTTCTGGGATGAGCAGAACAAGAAAATCATCAAAAACAAGGATGTGGTCTTTAACGAATCAGTTCTCTACAAAGACCGTGATGCCGTTCAGCCCACTAGTACGATGCAGAGTGATCCTACATATTTTGAGTCAGATGATGCCTCAGATGGAGGCAATCCCGAAGCTAGTTCTGATGAAGAAGAAGAGTTGATGGATGAGACTACTTCAGAGGGGGCAGATGAAGATGGAGAGCTTGTTTCGCCCGTCAGAGAGTTTAGGCGGTCAGCTAGAGTCCCCAAGCCCAATCCAAAGTATTCATCACTACAGCCCAGAGCTCATCTTAACTACCTATTATTGAGTGACGGTGGAGAGCCAGAAAGTTATGATGAGGCCCTTCGAGTGGATGATGCGAGCAAGTGGGAGCTCGCCATGAAAGATGAAATAAAATCCTTGAGTACCAACAAGACATGGGAACTTGCAAAGCTACCAACTGGAAAAAAGGCCTTGAGCAATAAATGGGTGTACAGAATTAAAGAGGAATATGATGGTTCCAAGAGATACAAGGCCAGATTAGTGGTTAAAGGATTTCAGCAGAGAGAAGGAGTTGATTACACAGAGATCTTCTCTCCAGTAGTCAAACTAACTACCATCAGAACAATCCTGAGTATTGTTGCAGCTGAAGATCTACATCTCGAGCAGCTAGATGTAAAGACAACTTTCCTCCACGGTGATCTAGAGGAAGAGATATATAAATGCAGCAGCCAGAGGGGTTTACTCAGAAGGGAAAAGAGAAGATGATATGCAGATTGAAGAAGAGCTTGTACGGCCTAAAACAAGCTCCAAGGGAATGATACAAAAAGTTCGATGGATTCATGCACAAGAACGGTTACTCCAGATGTAATGCTGATCATTGCTGTTTTGTCAAAGAGTTCGACAACAGTTACATCATCTTGCTTCTATATGTCGACGACATGCTAGTAGCCGGTTCAGATATGACAGAGATCAAGAAGCTGAAGAAGCAACTGTCGAGTGAGTTCGACATGAAGGATCTAGGCGCAGCGAAGCAGATATTGGGAATGAAGATCAGTAGAGATAAACTCTTGGGCACACTGCGGCTATCTCAGGCCGAGTACATTAGACGGGTGCTTGAGAGATTCGGGATGAGTGGTGCTAAGGCCGTTAGCACACCGTTAGCCAGTCACTTCAAACTGACTAAGGAGCAGTGTCCTGAGACTGATGAAGAGAAAGAATACATGGCTAAGGTTCCATATGCTTCAGCCATTGGAAGCCTTATGTACGCCATGGTATGCACATGACCCGACATTACCCATGCAGTGGGAGCTGTGAGCAGATTTATGTCAGATCCAGGATAGCAGCACTGGGAAGCAGTAAAGTGGATTCTTAGATACCTGCGAGGTACTATAGAAGATTGTCTATGCTTCAGAAGAGGCAAGTTAGTCCTGCAGGGTTTTGTTGATGCAGACTATGCTGGTGAGATAGACCAGAGAAGGAGCACTACATGATATGTATTCACTTTGGGCTCTACAGCTATTAGTTGGGTTTCTCAGTTGCAGAAGATCGTTGCTTTATCAACGACAGAGGCTGAATATGTTGCTGTGACAGAGGCAAGAAAGGAGATGATATGGTTGCAGGGTTTCTTAGAGGAGCTGGGACAGAAGATTGAGAAGAGTGTCTTACATTGTGATAGCCAGAGCGCAATTCATTTGGCGAAGAATCCCGCTTTTCATGCAAGGACCAAACACATACAGGTCCGCTACCACTTCATAAGATCAGCGTTGGACGAGGACATGTTGGAACTTGTGAAGATTCAAGGAAGCAAGAACCCAGCTGATATGCTTACCAAGGTTGTCACTACAGAGAAACTGAAGTTGTGTTCAACTTCAGTTGGCCTCAGCACTTGATGATATGGAGGCCGTCGCCGCAGAGAGAGCTGAAAGAGATTGATAGTTAGTCTCCAAGTGGGAGATTGTTAGGATATGTGAAGCCTAACTATCAGACATGCCCTATGCTTCGCGGTCGACCGAGCATGGCGCTGCGGTCGACCGCCAAAAGTCCAGAGAGCCAGGCAGATTTCGAACAGCATCGCGGTCGACCGGATGTGGTGCGGCGGTCGACCGGAGTCGGATTTTGGCCCAGATTCGAATTTTGACCTGTTTTGATCTGTTTCCTTTGTTACTTGTTAAACCCTTAAGTCTATAAAAGGGTTGATTAGGGCATGATGTATAAAGACGAAAAATAGTGAATTTTTCTCCTGCGGCGGCCGTGGACGTAGTTTCTCACATTGAGAAGCGAACCACATAAATCTTGTGTGTTTGAGATTGTTTGATTTTCTCTCTTCTCTCCTAAATCTCTATTTCCAAATCGCATCAGGGGGGTTGTGCATCCCCAACATTTCGCTCTCGTGCTCGTGATAGCCTTTCACGCGGTTTCGGTTTTGCTGCCAGCTGGTGCCTTTCACGCGTTGAAAGCAAACGCTAGCCAACACATATTCATCTCACAAGGTTGCATGCATGCAAAGTCTTTTGGTAGGGTTTGTGCAAGTCAAATTTCCCTCTTTAAATCGTGCAGGATTCCAAACATTTCGAGTAACTTTGAAGTGACATTACACCTAATTAACAATTTATCACGCAATATGTTACTCAAATAAACTCTCTTTGGTGGTGTCGATGCGCGCGCTTCAACCACTTTGTTGGTGTGGATTAAATCAAATAGCTAGCTCATTTTGTTCTCTCTCTTTCAGGATGACACTGTACGTTAAGATATCTATTAGGTCATGTTGAGCTGGATCCATACAAAGAACTGTATCAGATAGACATAATTTATGTGAGAGCTTAGTTTTCAATATAAAAAACTTAATTATCTTGGTCTTGATAGATTATAATTATCTCTTTCCTTCCTTTTCATGTCATGATTTTAGGAAACCTTGACTTGGAACTCTGACGAACGCTTCATTATTAATTTTAAAATCTTGATTGGTCTCCAAAAGAAATCTCTGTTTATGACCCCAATAGAATTCGGGGGGAAATGAAATAAAATGTTACTCCATGTTCTTGATCGTTCGAGAAAATGAGTTTAAACTGCACGATTAACAAGATAGTATCTATCAACTACTTTACTCTAATATTTTAGAACAAGTCTCTTACGTATCATTAATTTTCTATTGCGAAAAATGACAAATTATTTTAAAACTTTATTAATATCTATTTTGAAAAAATGACGAGCACAACGACAAAGACCGCAGAAAATGACGGAAAAAAAAGTTTGGGTGCTGTGCGGTCGACCGCGTGTGGCGCGACGGTCGACCACCAACGTGCACGAGACTAAGTTATGTTCTGTATCAGGTCACGGTCGACCTCGCGTAGTGCGGTGGTCGATCGCGAAAAGTCCAGAGACTCTGGAAAGTTTTTATCGTTTTCGCGGTCGACCGCGAGTCGGGTCTGTAGTTGAGTTTAGTTTTTTGACCCGTTTCGTTCTGAGTTGATAAATAATCTTAATCCTAATTAATTAGGGTGAAGCAAGGACGTTTTGAGCAGTCTTTGAGAGGGGATTGCTGTATCCAATTGTAGGAGAGTTGTGAGAGATCTAGATGCTTTGTTTTAGAGTTTATTTGGTGAGATTTGTAACCCTATTTGTATTTTCTTGATTTTTAATAGTAAGAACTCCTCCCTTCTTACCCCCTGGACGTAGACAACTTGGTGAACTACGTAAATTCGTTTGTCTTGCTGTGGTATTGTGTTTGGCTTGTGTGGTTGTGATTTATCTCGTTCTTGTTCGTGTGGTTTCGAGCTTCTGCCGCGCACAACATATTTCATGCTATGTACCTATTTGAGAAGATTGCCAAACACACCTAGGTTTTTTTTTGCCCCATAGAATGTTGTATTTCGAATTAAATGTAGAAATATATTGCGCAAACAAGATCATGTTGTAAGGAGATCTAAGTGGTTTATCAAGAATTCATTGGCACCAATTTTTAGATAGATCACCCTTACCAAGTTCAGTACTACTGTTGCCGAACTGTACAATGTACATGTAGCAAGCTAACCAAATCAAATAACATAATTTAACGAGAAGCTTACACGCCAAATTCTCAGGGGCGTTAATTTCCCAACCACAAATGGCCAGAATGCGCCACAATGGCTGCCCTTAAGAATTGTAGGGAGGCTGGTCACTAGCATTGTTTGATAGGAAATTATCACTCACAAAACGCTATTACACCTTTGGAGTTCTGATGCAAACGAAGAAAATTTTAAAATAACAGCTGAATAGTCTGTATTAAAATTCAATTCATCAGACATACAATCACAATTTTTTTTTTAAAAAATTGCTGTGTGTAATACCAAGATTTGGCCAATAAAAGTGATGTTCAAGATATAAAAATATCTTAGAATATAAAATTACTTCAACTCTCATCACAACATCCAGTAGTAAAGAACCAACCAAATGACTTCATGAAAGTTTTAGTTTAAATCCCATCGGGCACACATTTAAAGTAGATTTTAATTAAATGTATCATTGGTTAGTATAGCGCATGTTTGACGCACGAAAATATATGCTCAACCTGGAAAAAAAAAATCAAAATATGGAACTATCACACTCAATTCATTTTTGAAGTTTCAGTGCAACTGTGAACCCCCTTGATACATCAATCCTAACTAACATCATTATTTCACATCAAAACTCTTCTATATATCCAACTTGAACTTCCTCAAACTTGATGCAAATTAATGGATATGGTTCATCACTTGCTTGTGCTTGTGGCTTTATTAGCCTTGGTCACCCACGCCAGCTCCGACCTGAAGGCCGACCGAGCCGAATGCTCGAAAAAGCTCGTCGGAGTGGCGATGTGCCTTCCCTTTGTCCGAGGTGAGGCAAAATCTCCAACGCAGGATTGTTGCACGGGGTATAAACAGGTGACAGCCAAAAGTATCAAGTGTCTTTGTGTTCTGATCAAGGACCGAGATGATCCTGAACTTGGTTTGAGGATAAACGTCACCATTGCAATTACTCTTCCTGCTAGTTGTGATGCTCCTACTAATCTCTCCAGTTGCACCGGTAAGTTAATTATGCTCGATCTCTTGTGTTTTAGACTGATGTCTTAATTTACACACATACAATTTCTGAAACGTTCAAGTTGAAAAGCAAATAAAAAAGGAAAAAAAAGGGGAAAAAAAAAATCTTACAATCTGTTATTGGAAAGAAAACCTTTGTACCTACTTTTGGCGTATAAAATGTTGGAAAACTTTAGGACCACCAGGGAATACTTAGACATGCATGGAACTATTTGATCTAAAAGAATTTTTGAGTTAGGCAGTTGCCTTAAATATAAAGCCTTTTTGTCATTTACAAATTAAGTGCAAAACATTATGTCAATATTTTCTTAAAAACTTATAAAAATTAGACAAATAATTGTGCATGGAGACATAGAGTTTGTGAGCAAGATGATCGTAGCTTGCTTTGCCAACGATTTTGACTTTAATTCTCTCATGCACTTTCAGTGATGGATGGGAACTTCAACAAACTAATCCTGAGTTTGCTATTAACAGTAGTTTCTTAGATATATGAAAGCAGCAAATTTCACAATAGCATGCATGATAACACTTAAAGGTTACAACGACATAGTCAATTGTAGGTGTACTTGAACAGACAAGAATGAAAAAGTTAAAAACTTTTTTGCCCGAGTAAATTAAAGTAATGATGGAACCTTTTTAAAATTTATACCCGTACAATTATCTCAAAACAAAGATGTTATCATACTAGTAGCATGTTACATAAGGGGTATGGAATTCTGTTTATGTACGTTGTATAGATGTATGTACATTATCTTTATGTATGTGATGTATTTATACTAGTAGCATGTTTAGATAATAACGACGATCATGACAACGATGACAAGGACCCAAATACATATGTATTTATACTAGCAGTATTAGCATTTATGCTAGTAAGAATTAATGGATTGAAGAATAATTGCAAGAACCACTACTTCAATAATGTAAATACACTACTAGAAGAATGTTAAGGACTTAAGAGGATAATATCAAAGGAGAAAAACTATTAGTTCCGAAGAAAATTCCAGAATTTATTTCATTTTTCCTTAACATATATTAAAAATAGATGAATGTACTTCTGATTTCTGAATTAATGGGCCACCTGCCTTTTCCCTGAGCTGGAAAATTTTCTCCAAAGTGGATTGGTCATGCCTTAGAATTGTTGTTACAGCAAGCAACCACTTTACAAGAATTCCCTTTTGTGTAAAATTTAACACATTAAAAGATAATTTTATTTAAAAACATGTCTAGTTATGCTTCATCATCTGTTGAGAACAAAATTTTAAACGAAAATGAGTTCTGCAAACTATGTGCCTACCTTCGATATACATAGTTACCCTTGATCTTAGCATAAAGTCCAAAAATTTAATTTCATACTATCAAATAGCTATCAATCAACCTACATAATCAATGGCACTGATTATTATAATTTCCTATGTTTCGACTGACTATCATTGGACTCATATCTTGCAGGTATTCTGAAGCTTTCTCCAGACTCAAAATATGCTAAAGAATTTCAGCAATTTGAGAACATGCTCGAAGAAAAAGGCAACAACGGAACTATCATATCTTGATCCGTTTAAACTAAATAAACTTATATATGCATCATGTTCAATATGATTTCATCTTTTAGTTTTCCATATCCGCATAAGAACATGTTGCAAGCGTAGCTTAATAGCATCTGAGATTATTTCACACAATTTTATCGGTTCTTCTTGTAATCTAACAATAAAATCTTGTACTTTTCAGTTAAAGTGAATTCTACAGAAACAGGAGCAAGGGATGCAGCTGGTGCCAATGGTGGAAGGAAACAAAGGGCCATGAGAATAGAAATGTTTCCTCTTATAATACTTGTGTTGATCCTAGTCATGTAAAATCGGTTTCTTTTCTTTCTCCTACCTTCTGTTATTTATACTATCGTCAGTGTGATTAGTTGGCCTTCCATTGTGTTTATGATGCTTTTTTGTATTTAAGCTTGTGGTGTACCTCATAAAAGATAGTAGTTAGTTGCCTCAAGAAATAATAATGATTGTTTTGTTTCTTGATAAGTTGCTGTTGTTGTTCTGGAACTACTCATTCGGGGTTGATTTTATGGTTGTTTTAATTTGTTGCTTGATAAGTAGTTGTTGTTGTTGTTCTGGAACTACTCATTCGTGTGTGTTTATATATATATATATATATATATATATATATATATATATATATATTATAATATAATATATATATATTATATAATATATATATATGTTGTGTTTTGGGTGAAAATTAGTTTTCTTTCGACATAGAGAGCTACCACTTTTATATTAATGTTTCTTACAAAAGGTCCTTACAACATCATCTAAATAACTCAACATTCCCCTCAAAGATGGGTCGATAGATATTCAATCATTACCGCACTCTTGTTACAAAAGATATCATTACTCTCTTAGAGCCTATCCTTTTAGCTTAAAACAATCAGCTAACGACATGCTCTTCTATTTCACAAGCTCAAAGTCAGGACTCCTCGTATTCAGTTGCTCCCTTGATATAAGATATCGATCAATCTCCACATGTTGTGTGCATCATGCTGAAACGTGGATTGTTTTGCAATATTAATCGCGATTTGTCTTGTCACACCAGAAGTTGTTAAGGGGTCCCTTCTAAACAGGCCGCAACTCAGATAATATGCTTTATTGACCCACATCAATTTCAGCACATGATTAACTGCCATAAGCCACTGCGCTCAAGCCTCGCGTAGACCTAGCACCACATCATGCTCTTGGCTACTCCAATATGAGATTTGCCTCCAACAGAATACACAATAGCCCTGAAGTGACCTACGATCTATCCATACAACCCGCCCAATCAGCAGTCACAATAGCCTTCAATTTTTCAGATGTCAAAACTTCATGAACCGATACCCTCTTTCTGGCTCCCTTAATATACCTAGATTCTAGCGAACTGCTTCCATATAGATGTTGCTTCTTGGGGATCATGCATATATCTACTCACCACCTCACTGAATGAGTAATATTCAGGTCTCGGTCATGACATAGATATACTAAGTCGGCCAACTAATCTATTTATTGTTTTTTACTCACCAGCTCACCACCCTCGCAACATCCTTAGTGATTCTGCTCGATGGGAGTAATGCCACTCTGCACCCCAACATTCCCTGCTCGCTAAGAACATCCAGAAGCATACTTTCGCTGGAAATACACTATACCCTTCGCCGACTGTCAATTTCATTTCCGAGGAAATACTTCAACTGCTCCCAGATCTTTTAACTTCAAATTCCTCTCCAATTTCTTCTTTCAATCGTAGAATTTCTCAGCATCATCTCCGGTCATTACAATTATCATCAACATAGACGCCAGAGATAGTTGATTAAGTTTAGAGTGCTTGTTAAATACGTATATCCCCATTGCACTGCTTGTACCATTATCACAAACTGCAAATCAGGATATCTGTCAAACCATGCCTTGCGAAAATGTTGTTAACCATACAAAGACTTCTTCAACTTGCTACCTGTCCTTCAGTTACTGAGAAGTAGGGAAGCTGGGATGGAAATCTCCATATACACTCTCGGAATCTCCATGCAAAAAAGCATTCTTTGACATTAGCTGATTGTTGACAATTGCATCAGTTGGCGAGCACATGACACACCAACATATCTAACAGTCTCAGTCTTTCTATTGGAGCGAATGTTCTCATCATAGTCAATGCCGATACGCTTTGGCTGTGTAGCCTTTAGCAACTAATCTGGCCTTGTATCTGTCGATCTTTCCCTCTGGAGTTTGCTTAACCGTATACACCCACTTACATCCAACAGCACGCTTCCCAGCTGGCAAAGGTACCAACTCCCATGTGTCATTCTTCTTCAATGCCTGAAGTTCCTCTTGCATAGCACTCAACCACCTAGGATCTTGCTTAGCTACCTGCCAATTGTTAGGTACAGGTACTGAATGTAATGATGCAATGAATGACTTGTATGCAGGTGGAATGGATGCATATGAAATATAGTTCGCAATGTCAGTATCCCAACTACCAAACTTAACTGGAGGTTTTCCAGCATTGACTCTAGAGGTTCTGCGAGATAAGACAGGAGTTTCAGAAGTATCGGGGAAGGAATTGTTACCTATTGGCTTAGGTGGAGGAGATGAGGAAGGCACTGGAGAGGAGGGACTTGGGACATCAACAGTTGTGGGTACTGGCACAGATACAGGAGGTGGCTCATGCTGTTGCTTCTGTCTCCTTGTGTATACTCTCAGCTCCCCCTGACCTTGAATGCCAACTCCTGAGTCGTTAGATATACTTGGCGATGTACCATCACTACTCGGTAACTCAAGCGGACATGGAATCATCCCAACCACGATATCATTCTCATTCTCAATCACGATGTCATTCTCATTCTCCCCCTCTCTACTAGCATCAGTAGAGCCATCTCCAAACACGGAACTTAACTCCGTTTTCTTCCCATAAAACGGTTCAAACTCCCGAAAAGTCACATCCATACTGACAAACAACCTTCTTTCAGTGGGACACCAACACTTGTATCCTTTTTGACTTGATGAGTAGCCAACAAAGATACATTTAACTGCTTGCGGATCCAATTTACTCACCATCAATCTGTGATCCCTTACATAACATGTGCATCCAAACACTCTTGGTGGAACAACAAAAACATTCGAGCCCAAGAGCATCTCACATGGTGTCTTCATCCCTAATACTCTCGATGGCATTCTGTTGATCAAATAAGCTGCTGTCATAACGGCCTCACTCCATAAAAACTTAGGCACATTCATTGTCAACATCAATGAGCGTGCCACTTCTAGTAGATGTCTGTTCTTACGTTCAGCCACCCCATTCTGAGCAGGGGTGTCTGGACATGTGGTTTGATGAAGAATTCCCTGATTAGAGATGAAAGCCGCAAACTCCTTATTGACATACTAAATTCCATTATCTGTTCGAAGAATCTTCACCTGCACTCCAAACTGTGTCTTCACATAAGCCGAGAAATCTTGAAAACATTTGTAAACCTCAGATTTCTGCTTCATCATGTATATCCAGACCATACGTGAATAACAATCAATGAAAGTAACAAATCCAGACCATACGTGAATAACAATCAATGAAAGTAACAAACCATCTAAAACCACTAATAGAAGTAGTAGGACATGGTCCCCAAACATCAGAATGGACAAGGGCAAATGGTTCAAAACTTCGAAGGCCAATCATTTTATAAGTAGAACGAGTATATTTTCCAAGTTCACAAGCATTACAAAATAACTCTTTTCTATCCATTTTTTTCATTATCTCAGGTTCTAACCTACTCAAACTATCAAAAGATAGATGCCCTCGTCGGCAATGTTGAAGCATTGCTTCTGCCTCTGGTCCTCCACTAACAGTAGCAGCAATCATTGCAGTCTTCCTGTCCAAGTACCAAAGCCCATCACGCCTGATGCCAGTCCTAATCCTCCTCCCTGTTTCCTTCTCCTGGAAGACACACATATCCCGATCAAATAATACAGTGCAATTTAATTGATCAATGAGAGAGCTAACAGAGAGTAAGTTAACTGGAAATGAAGGAACATGCAATACAGATGATAAGGTAATAAATGAGGTGCAATGGACCGAGCCAGTACCCCTGATGGGTTGGGATGTCCCATCAGCAGTCTGAACTATCTCAGGATGCATATGCTTACTCGGATAATATGATGCAAACTCACTAGATGATCCTGTGACATGCCTAGATGCACCTGAGTCTATGATCCAATCAACATGAGTTTTGGTGGATGCAAGTGCCTGAACCTGTGTACCTTTGTTCGCATGAGCATAACCAACAAAGTTACCAAAGCAGGTAGTGTTATCCAGATCCTGAGTGACTTGTCCCTTGCCCTTTGAACTCTCAGCCTGAAGCTTGAACTGACGTAGTTCCTCTAGTTCTGTTATTTCAGCTCCAGTCATCTCAGCAGTAGTCTGGGACTCCTCTGCCACAACTAGGTAAGCAACTCCTCGGCCTCCACGTCCACTGCCTCCTCGACCTGCACGGCCACCTCTCTGTCCTCTGCCCCCTCGACTACCACCAATATTACGTGGTTGGGGGCAATTGTAGCTGAGATGTCCTTTCTTTCCACAATTGTAACACTCTCTATCATCTCTGATGTGAGCATCTGGAACCACTAATGCCGAGCGGATAGCAGGTGAGGCCTCGCCTATCATCACCTTCTGTCTGATCTCCTCTTGTTCCATCGATGCAATAGCTTCATCTAAGGAGGGAAGAGATGATAGGTGGCACATTGCTGCCCTCCTTCCTTCAAATTTTGGGTTCAGGCCCTTGAGAAAGCGAGCCACACGCCTGTGCTCAAGATATTGCCTCCCTAAAATAACATCTGCCGGGTTTTGTAGTGACAACGGATCATAGTGATCCAAATCTACCCATAAGTGACGTAGCTCTGCTGCATACTGGTGGACTGTCTTCTCCCCTTGTGTGGTAGCATCAATCTTCTCCTCCACTTCCATCATCATCATCACACTCCCAGCTCCAGAGTACATCCCCTCCAATGTCTTCCAGACATCAGCTGTACTTGAGATAGACTCCACCATCCCAGCTATGGTTGGAGACACAGAAGTCAACAACCAAGAAACCACCAGAGAATTAGTGTTACTCCATGTGTTCCACTCAACACTCGCCTTATTCGACGGCTCAGTGCACTCCCCCTTCACATATTTTTCAAGTCCTTTGATTCGAAGATTCAACAATGCCCTCCGAGACCAACTCAGATAGTTTCTTGTCCCCTCAAGCTTAATGTCATTAGGCAGCAATTTTACCCTTTGCATTACTAGCGACGACTCCGGTGCGACCACGACTGACCTACTAGGATTCTCCTCTAGTTTGGTCTGAAAAACCCTGGCCACCCCCTCCAGGATATCCTTTAATTCTTGACTTGTCACAGGTGTTCCCATCTTCTCAGTTGATTCTATACCAACAGTTGATTCCTCTCCCTCTCAGCAACAAAAAAGAAACCCAAACAGAACAATCCAAAGAGCTAACAGTTGATTCCAATCCAAAGAGCCAACAGTTGATTCC